TCAGTCGGTCTGTCTCTGTCTGTCTGTCTGTGTCCTACGGCTTGAACGCTGGATCTGGACACCATTCCCGAGCTTCTTTGCTCAAGGCTGGCGCTCTACCACTTGACCCACAGCTCCGCTTCAGATTCGGGCGGCTTTCCGGAGCCTCAGACCTCCCCGCCCGGGTGCAACACTCTCGCTTCCCGAGGAGCTGGGATCGCAGGTGGAGCCACGTGCCGCCCCTTACCTACGTGGCGGTGACAGGCTCCTGCTCTGGCCGCCCGCGGGCTCACAGGGGCCTGGGCTGACTCGGTGGGGGCGAGGAGGCCGAGCTCGCGCCGTCCGCGAGTTACCGCCGCGCCCGCGCGCTCCCTCCCCGCCCCACGCGCGCGGAACTCCCGAGGGGCACGGGCGCCCCGCAGCGCCGCAGCCCGAGGGAGACCGAGTCTCCCCGGGCCCCGAGCGCGCCCCTTCCGCCCAGGCCAAGGGCTCCGGCCTCGGGTCCCCCAGCCTGCGCCCTCCCCGAGCCTTTACCATCATGGGCAGCCACAGGACAGCTTTGGTCAGCGCCAGGATGAGGGCGAAGCGCCGCTGCGCCACGCTGCGCTCGAAGCTCCGGCTGTCCCACGGGTTCTGGCGCTCGCGGGCTCCGGCCTGGGGGGCGTCGGGCAGGCCAGGTCCCGGAGACGCGGGCGGGGACCCCGAGGCAGAGGCCGCGCGGCGCCCGGACGGAGGGGAGTCCGGGGCGGACGCGCCGCCGGTGATCGCACGGTACTGGGCCTGGGCTCGCGGCGGCGCCTCGGAGCACAGGAGCGGCGGCGCGAGTGGCCCGGCCAGGCCAGCGAGCAGCGCGAGGGCGGCGGCGTAGAGCGCGCAGAGCGGCGGCACGGCGGGCCCCGCCACGCGGCAGCCCCAGGCCGTGCGCTCGAAGGCGCCCCAGCCGCCCAGCGGCAGCGCAGCCAGCCCCAGGCCCGCAGCGCCCGCGCCCAGCGCCGCGCCCAGCGCCTTGCCACGGCCCCGGCAGCCCGCCGGCGTCCCCGCCGCCCGGCGCAGGCTGACGAAGCTGTACCCCACCAGGAGGGCGGCCTTGAGGTTCCCGGAGAGGCCCTGGCCGGTGTAGAGCAGCGCGGCGGCGGCGCATAGGGGCCGCGCGTGGCCGGGCGCGTCGCGGGGCCACTGCAGGCGCAGGAAGAGCCCGGCCGCCACGGCGCCCACAAGGTCGTCCACGGAGCAGGCGGCCACCAGCGCGGGCAGCGCGCCCCGGCGAGGCACGGGCAGCAGCGCTGCCAGCGAGCCCACGCCGCCTGCCAGCGCGGCCAGCGCCAGCGCGCCCGTCACGCAGAAGAGGGCGACGTCCGGGGCGCCCGGCGCGCCGCGCGCCGCCGTGGAGTTGAGCGCCTCGGGCCACGCGTCCGAGCCGTTGCTGGAGTAATGAGCGGAGCAGCCATGGTCCTCGGTCGGCGGACCCCGCG